TGAAAGCTGGGCAATGAAATGGTGCCATTGAATTGTGAAGGATGTTTAATGTACCAAAGGCTGCCAGAAGAATAACATCCCTTGGAAGATGTTCCTTAGCATGTTCCTTAGAAATGAGGACTGTAAGACTTTGTCTCGATGTACTTTGAACATGTTTTCAAGAGGGACCAGTCCCTGGAGGACATCCTGCTTAGTAAAGAATCAGTGAAAAAGAAAGGCCAATCAGTGAGCTGGATTGCCACAATGGCTACAACAATGACCTCATACATAGCAGCAGTTGTGAAGATGGCACAGTTACAAACAGTGTTTAGTTCCGTTGTACATAGCTTCACTGTAAGTCAGAAACAATGCAATGGCACCTGATATCAACAAAATAACTTTCTGTGTAACGACTGTGTGTACAGTAGAATGAACGTTACCACGTCACCCTGCATCACCCCCACAATGGCTGGCATGTTCAAGTTGTTCAGGGTCTTGGTTGCACCGATTACACCGTTCCTTCGCATCAAGAATTTCTCTTGTCTTCACTGGCGCTCTACTTTACTAGACACGTTGTCCTCTTCCAGCGCTTGATCCTTCATGATGACATACCCCAAACAAGTGCGTTGGTTGCTGTTCTGTTGTGATCTAGAATGTTTTCATTGGATAATTTTTTTTTTTTTAAGTTTTTATTGTGAATTGGGTGAAGGTTTACAGACAAGACCATCAGCAAACCATGGACCTTGTTTCATCTCAGTGACTTCATTCCCCTCCCTGCAACATTGATCCCACTTCCTCTCTGTGGCTCCCCATTTGCATCTTCTATTTCACAAATGAACAAGGCAAAAATAGCTGATGTATACTTACAAAACAAATCTCTCTATATATTTTTTCCATTTAAATGTCCAAAGGGCACATTCTACCAGCCTTCTCCTGCCCGCAGGCACACAGGCTCCGTCTTTGCTGTCTCTACTTTTCTAGGTAGGGATCTCACGCTCCACTCATACTCTTCCTTCTTGATGATCCTGGAGTCTTCTGTTTCTGAAATGAAAGTTTACCTACTCCCTCCTTTTAGTTACACATCTTCTGCAATTACTATTGTGACAATCACAATTAATCCTGCTAAAAATTATTCACAATTGAGTCATAAAATCCTATCACTGTAGTCCCCCATCCCCATTCACCAAATCCATCTGGGAAAGAAATTGTTAAGTGGGGATTCTATCTTACCTCCTTCATTCTGCAACTAAGCAAGCTCATGAAAGCTTGTAAACCATCATGGGCTAATTTTTTTTTTTCAAACCCAAGGTCTCACATATTTATTAGCCAACCTCTTGAAATGCTGAAGCATAAAAATAAAGGAAGAAACCAGAAGTTTTGCAAAACATGTTCAATTGATCAAATCCTGGCAAAATTGAACTTGCTATGGTAGAGTGGTAGGACCTAGGTATGTTATGTGCTATGTCATAACATGTGTGACTCCTTACAGACCCAGCTTGGATCTCTCCAGTGTCTTCCCTTGGAGTTGTATCTGATTTTATTACCAGTTTTCATTCGAATCCATTGGGGAACAAGATGAATCTGCTCTTGATCCTTGAAAGTCTAATGAGAAGACACAGTGATGTTGGAACATAGCAGCACTTACATGATGGTGAAGAAAGGAACAAAAGAGCAGTGACAAGCTGTGGGCTGATTTTTGGAAGTCCTTTGTCAGACCTTTCTTCCAGGTCTATCTTAATCTGGAAGCTCTGCTGAAACCTGCCCACCATGGGCGACCCTCTTGGTATTTGAAATCCTGGTAACATAGCTTCCAGCATTAAAGCAACACATAGACCACCACAGTAGGACAAACTGACAGTCAGGTTGTAGTCGATATAAGTTACTTAGTTGCTATTTACTCTGACTACATTTATTCTTTGTCTTTCTCCTACCTTGTTGTTGTAGTTGTTGTTAGGTG